TCGATAGAGAATGGGACACAGAGTTGGAAAAACGTTTAGCGAGAGCTGCGAAGAAAAGAATTTTAGAGAGTATCGACAATTTATCAATATTCGGAAATKGTTAGTATGAATATTATATTAATTAGTTCCTTTTAGATATAGAATTTTAACTTTGTAGCAGGTTTATAGGTATCTTTTAACTATAGGTACAAGGTACCTAATATCTTATATTAACGAAAAATTAATTTTATGAATACATATAATTAGGTTCAATGGAAAATGGCGGGTTTCTTGAAACCCTTATAACAACTGTTATGAATAATTTGCAAATATATATTAGAGGTATTCATATTCGATTTGAAGATTCAATAACTAATGCAGATTCTCCTAGAGCCTTAGGTCTATGTATACAAACAATTTCACTGGAAACAACTAACAGGTTTTAGATTATTTGCTTTATTGAAAAAATATRAACCTTTATGATTTAGTTATCTTTTAATTTCAGCAAGTGGAAGCCAATTTTGTCACAACAAAATGGGCAGACTTCGGTGTATCAAATTGTCAAAATTGATTCTGCTTCATTTTATTGTAATACAATGTGTTCAACTTTATTGTATACTAATAAAACTATGGTATCAGATTGGCAGGATAAAATGCGATCAGGTCTTAATAACTTTAATATAAATGAAGAACCTTTGGAATTCAGTGAGTATTAGATACCTACCTATATTATCTGTATAGGTAAGTTATTTTCAACTACTTTTTTTGTTTAATTAGTATTGAAACCAGTCGTATTAAAAATCAAAATTATTGTCAACAAGTCAAATGAAGTCAGAGTTCCTAAATTACTTGTTGACTTTGTTCTCCAGGACGCAGCTTTACAAATGTCTAGAAAACAATTTGTTGCATTGGTGGAAACTGCAGAATTTATGAAATTAGCAGAGATTAATAGGTTAATAAATTCATAATAGATAAATATATAATATAAGATATCTATCAAATGTATTACAATAGATATTACAAGAAAAAATAATTGCATTAATATTATAGTAATAATAATACTAATAATAGATAGGTACTATATATTTATAATGCAATAAAATTGGCGGAAGCCCAATTTAACAGATAAATATACWAAAATTAAATGTAAGAAGTTGTATAGAACAAAAATATTAATATAAATATACCATATAAACCTTGTAATATGTATATATTGTACAA